TGACAAAATCTGATATTTATTATTTAGATAATACATCTACTTAAATAATTTTATATTTAGGATTTTTTTTAAATTTCTATGCATAAGTGAATTATATAGGCATAATGCAAACAAATACCCCTAACGTTTGACACTATATGCATTTGTGCCCAAATCGTTTTTTTTTTTGCAACAGTTGTACCCACAACGTTTAAATCTGATTCAAAAGTCACCCCGTTAGATGGAAACCGTCAGTCAACTGACGGTCAACGGTTCTAGCTAACTAAGCAAGCACAATTTGACAGCGATTATGACGTGACATGTCCACGTCACTAATATATGCTGACGTGGAATTGACACGTCAGCAATTTTTTTGTTTAAAAATTTAATTTCAATTAGAATTTTGCACCAATAAGAGAGTGACACGTGTCACTCTCCCATTGGCGCGTATTGGCAAGAACGAATAAAATGTTACTATGTGTATGGAAGAGGACTTGAACCTGAGGCAAGGGCATGAAATGGAATGGCCCTTCTCACCAGGCCAAGTATATTACTTGGTTATTTTGTGTAATAAAATCTTATTTAACTTTTAAAAATTAGTACTATAATTATAATACTTTTAAATTAAAAGCATTTTTATTTTAATAAAAGTATATTAATAAAATAAAATTTAAAGATCGACCTGTTGTGAGATATTCCATAAGATTTTAATAACAAGTATTTTTTTTTTGAATTCGAATCAAATTAAATTTTGTGATAATAGAACCAAATAAAGTTAAAATAATGTTTTATTTCATCCAGTCATATTATCAACCCTGATTTAAACCAACATCAATTTAGAACCTAACTCATAATTTGAAACTATTTTATACAATAAATTCTTAAAATAAAAAACAAAAGATTTTCAATGGAAGTAAGTAATCAAATTATTTGGTTTAAATTAAATATTTTTCAATTAAATTAACAAAATTGTGAACTAAATATATAAAAGAAATTGATTAAAAACACAAGATATCGAAATTAATATTAGGACTTTTTCAAAACTAAACTGCAAGAGTTAGGGCTCTATACCTGTTACCTATACCCTATGGGTGCGTTTGGTTCACGGAATGTAAGATTACCAGTGGGAATAAAAGATTACCAGGGAATAGGATTACTGGGAATGTTGTATTTTGTGTTTGGTTGGTTTAGCAGGAATATAAGATTACCGTGTTTGGTTAAAGGAATAAAAGATTATTGAAATGTATATTTGACCAAATTGTCCTTATTATATATTTGTATAATATTACAAATTGTAAAATATTTATATATTTTCTTTAAAAAAATTAAATTCATAATATTTATATAATTTTTTTACAAAATTAAAAATATAAAAAAGGTTTATTGAAAGGGTAAAAAAACTTTTAATCCCTGAATTTCATATAAAATTTTAATTATAGATTTTTTTTTGTAAATCTAAAATAATTTAAGGATAAATTTGTAATTTAACCTTCGTAGAATTTTTATTATTCAATGACAGAAGAATGATATTTTTGAAAAAAAATAAAAATTTAAGGGCATTTTAGTCCAAAACGCTGGTAATGTTACAATACCTAAGGGAAGGGAGGTAATGACATTCCCGGTAATATACCCAAAAAAATCTACTATTGGTAATAAAACATTACCGGGAATGAGATTTCCGACCAACCAAACATGGGAACGTGGGATTCCCATCCCATGGGAATCCCACAATCCTTGAACCAAACACCCCCTATAAGTAAGCAAAAATGACCAAGTGAATGCATGAAAGTGAACATGCTTTTGATGCTACAACAGATTGATGGAAAATTTCTTCATACTATCATCATTCATCGTCGTTTCACTCCCCCTTGTAATTTCAAAAAGCTGAATCACAATCACGCCTGATCGACCACCTCCTCGTCTTTCAATCCTAATCGGAATCGGGGGTTATCCATTTGGACGATCAATATGTATTCAAATTCTTAACGTCGCCGGAAACCCCAAGCCCTTACTATCTGCTCATCTTCTTCGACGCCATTCAACTCTGCGATAAATCCGACCTCAGCCTCCGTGATCTCAGCCAATAGTTCGCCGTCTTCGCCTCTTCCGTCATCGCCACAACCCGGCCAGCCCCAAGCTCTTCTTCTGCGACATCGAGTTCCGCGAATCCAAATCTTCTTTCAACCTCCTCGGCGTCAATTCCCTTCCCAACCTCCACCTCGTCAGCCCCGCCGCCAAATCATTGAAAGACGACTTGGAACGAATGCAGTAGGTTGGTTTCACTCGATTCACTGAATCACTCATCGATTTCATCGAGTCTAAAACTAAACTCACCTTGGGTCCCATCCATCTTCCTCCCATCATTTCGAAAACTCAAACCGGCATCATCCTCGGGTTTTTACTGATCTGGTTCGGCCGCTAGAAAGATGTTCGACGGCAAAACCGTGCTACACAATCCTAGGATTTGGCTTTCGAGATCCATTTTTGTTTATTTTTTCAGCGTTTCGGGGGCAATGCATACCATATTAATAAGGATGTTGATGTTCTTGATGGACAGGGACAATCTAGACAAATTGATATTCTTCTACCGAGGAACAACAGTACAACTTGGGTTTAGGGGGAAAATCGGTTTGAAGATGCCTATAAGATATTTGAAACACGTGTTTTATTTTGTTTAATTACACTGAACATTTATTATGGGTTAAATAAGATTTTGTTACATAAAATAACAAAGTAGCATGTTTGGCTTGGTGGCAAGGGCCATCACATTTTATGTCCTTGCCCCAGGTTTGAGTCCTCTTCCATGCAAATAAGAGTCTTTTATTCGTTCTTGCCAATACGCCCCAAAGGTAAAGTGACACGTGTCATTCTCTTATTGGTGCAAAATTCTAATTGAAATTAAATTTTTAAACAAAAAAAATTGTTGACGTGTCAATTCCACGTCAGCATATATTAGTGACGTGGACACACCACGTCATCATCATTGTCCACCTGTGCTTGCTTAGTCAGCTGGAGCTGTTAACCGTCAGTTGACTGACGGTTTCCATCCAACGGGGGTGTCTTTTGAATCAGATTTAAACGTTGTGGGTACAACTGTTCCAAAAAAACGATTTGGGCACAAATACATATAATATCAAACGTTAGGGATATTTGTTTGCATTATACCAATTATATAATATAATAGTGTTAAGAGATTTCTGACTTTTTTTTTAAAAGGTCATAAAGTGTTGTTGATCGATCAATCTCTTCAAAAGTCTAATAATATATCAAGACATAAATTTAGCTTTTGAACTCTAACTTAAGACATGAGTTTGAAGTCTAAAATTATTTTTTAATTAGATCAAATATTTTTCATCATAAATTTAAATTTGATTCGACTAAACTTATCCTCTAAAAACATAATTCGACCTGACTTGATCTGAATTATTTTTATTAAATAATCGATTTAATAAGATCGGATCAAAATCCATTGAGTTCTAAACTCGTGCTCATCCCCTATTTTGAATCTGTTTATACAAATTCCTTGTTTTTATACGAGTTTATCCTCTTAAAACATCTATTCATATATCTAAAATGTTTTTGAATAAATGGACCCTCTATTTGGAACACTGATGAACCCTCTATCTTTGTTCACCTAATTAACTCCTCGAATGATAATAATTTTTAAACTAATCAATTTTTGCTAACATATTTATATGTGATAATTTACGCGAATTGTATTATTGGTGTGATGTTATTTTATTTTATATGTTAATATATTTAATAACTATTTAAAAGATTTAAAAAAAATAGAAGTTATACAAATTTCCGGATACCTTCTACAACATCTAGCACTACACATCACCCATCAACCAAACCATGCCTTCACATTCAATCAACAGCATCAATACCCAAGATGAAACCAGAAGTATTAGCAAATAATGCATGTTCGAAGAGATTGAAATAACCAATACCCAAACCCGAAAGCACAAACACATATGAATTTCTTAAATAACTAAACAATCAAAATTGTTCACAGATAATACAATCTAAATATAAAAGTCATAGAATTTTCACATGCGGATCTATGAAGACTCGAAATTCAACTGTTCTAACTTTCACAAGTTAATTAATCAATTTATGACCTTGTTTGCTTCATGTGGAAATGACAAATGGAAAAAATAAAATACTTATGTGATTTTTTTTAAAAAAAATTGACATGATACTTGGATCTATTTAAAAAAATAAAAATTTATTTTATATTTTATTTATAAAGTAAAAAAATAATTGTCAGTACTTTATTCTTTGATGGCTTATTAACAAATGAAGAATACCAGCCATATTATTCCTCTGAAAAGTCCGTGGAATTCTCTGAAATGGCTCTCACTCCATGAGGAGATTCCCTTGCTCTGCAACTTCAGCTCCAGCTATAAAGAATACCCACAATCATTCTTATCCAATACTCCACCTCAATTCCCTTCACACCCAAACACAATTACCATGGTATCCACTGGTTTCGTCTCGTATTCTATATTTAAACATAACTCACATGTGATCAGAAAGAAAGAAGGGAAGCTTCACAAGGTTAACTAAACCCAGACAAAAGAAGGGAAGCTTCACAAGGTTAACTAAACCCAGACAGACAACGCCAACAAAACAAGAACAGAGCACAAGAGGCCACCACCATCCAACAAATATCCTCCCTTGCCTACTGTATCACTGTCTATGTATCTTTCCATGGTTCACCCCCCCTTTATTCTAACTTGTATCAGTTCACGATTTGCGTTAATTATTAATAATTATGTGTTAAACCAATGCCAAGTGGCTAAGAACAAAAGTAATAATAAAATAAAGGGTGTCAAGGTCACCCCTCGTGGTGTAGTTACCAAAAAGTAATGCCCTTCACAAGAGGTTGTATGGCAGACCCCAACCTCCCCATGTTCCCTTCCCCCTCCTTCGTCCCCACTTTCCTCCCTTTTATATAGCCCCCACCATTCTCCCTTCCCCTTCATTCCTTGTTTCATCACTCTTTTCTCTTCCATCATTACTCCTTGTTGCTGCATTGCACCCCTACAGAAAAGAACAAAAAGAAAGAAAAATAATTATGTGTTCGTCTAAGGCTAAGGTGACCACAGGTGGTACTACTACTACAACAACTCCTCTTGAGAGGACGCCTTCTGTGGCTAGGATTAATGGTCGTCCGGTTCTTCAGCCTACTTGTAACCGTGTTCCTAGCCTCGACCGTCGTAATTCGTTGAAGAAAATACCGCCCATTTCTCCTCCACAGACTCAACCGTTAACGTCGACATCGCCGCCTACCACTAGTGTTGCCAATGGTAGCAGGGCTAAGGCGTCGTTGACGCCGCCTTTATCCCCGAGCTCGAAGTTCCCTACCCCGGTTAAGCGAGGGAGTGATCCGAATGGATTGAACATGAGTACCGAAAAGGTTGTCATTCCCAGAAGCACTAACAGAACCTTAGAGAGGAAGAAATCGAAAAGTTTCAAAGAGGGTATGGGGAATGGATTATCTACTTGTGTCGATCCGTCTTCATTGAGCTACTCATCGGCTTTGCTCGTCGATTCTCCCGGAAGTATCGCCGCTGTCAGGAGGGAACAAGTGGCTCTACAACAAGCACAAAGAAAGATGAGAATCGCACACTATGGGAGATCAAAATCAGCCAAATTCGAATCTCAGATGGTTCCTCTCGATAACACCAAGTCCGCCGAGGAAAAGAAGTGTAGCTTTATCACCCCCAACTCAGGTATTTGTTCTTGCAATTCTTCACTTTAAAACTTCGACAATTTCATGGAAATTTGAATGATTTGTAATCCAATTTTAGATCCTATCTATGTGGCATACCATGACGAAGAATGGGGAGTTCCCATTCATGATGACAACATGCTGTTCGAATTGTTGGTTCTAAGTGGTGCTCAAGTCGGATCGGATTGGACTTCAATCTTGAAGAAACGTCAAGATTCCAGGTCACTATTTTTTCGTTGTCGTCGTCATTGTCATCCATGTGATCATAGTTTTAAGGCTAACATAATTTCATGTTTTTTCTTAAACGTTCAACAGGTACGCATTCTCAGGGTTTGATGCAGAGACCGTAGCCAAATTCACTGAAAAACAAATTACCACAACCAGCACTAAATACGGCATCGACATCAGCAGAGTTCGAGGTGTCGTCGACAACTCCAACCGTATTCTCGAGGTACTGCCATGGCCCATTTCCTTTATATTAATCACCGATCGGTACATCAATTCACATGGTTTTGTGTTTATGTCATACGAATGCAGGTCAAGAGGGAGTTCGGGTCGTTTGACAAATATATATGGGGTTTCGTGAATCACAAGACATTGTCGACACAATACAAATTCGATCACAAGATCCCGGTCAAGACATCGAAGTCGGAGACAATAAGCAAGGACATGGTTAGAAGGGGGTTTAGGTATGTCGGACCAACCGTCGTCCACTCCTTCATGCAAGCCGCCGGTTTAACCAACGACCACCTCATCACATGCCATAGACACCTCCCTTGCACCCTGTTAGCCATCCAGAGGCCACCGGCAGCAGTCCACGCACTCCCCAACAACGATCTATAAAGAACTATGAATTAAAATTTAGATATACGTATCCAAGCAACAATAATGCATTTCATGGGGACAGGCATCAAACCAGTACCCCCCCAGATGCATATGCATAACTAAAAAAGTACCCAAAACTCCAATTTCTAACTAATTAAACCCTTTTTTCTCCCTCTTCTTTTGTGTGATTATCATCTATGACTTGTCACTCAAGAAATGCTATAAATGAAAAGAAAAAAAGATGATTAGAGATAAGATAGGATGTGGAGCAGAGTGCATGTGCAAGTTTCAAGGTTCAAAGCTTAAATGCAGATGGAGGCAAGAGCATGTGTGGGATGTCAGTTGCTTTTGGGAATACATGTGGCACAGCCTGTGGTGGACTTACTGCTCACAATGGCATCAGATCCTATACTTATAATGGACCACCTGCTTTTTTCCCTTTTTCATTTAGGGGCTTGAGTTGTAATTAAGTTTTTTTTGGGTGTGTTTTTGCCTAATTTGTTGTGTGGAATTTGGCTTTGGGGGAATATTAATACCTCGAATGGGTCTTGGTGTTGGATTTCGTGTGGATTTTTTTTCTACTTTTTTCGAGTGATGCTTGTTTCCGTGTGACTTTGAAGTATTTGCTTAGTAAATACACTTTGATTAAGTTGACAGGATAAGTATATATGTTCACATGCCATGTGCCTGCTGTCCTTTTCCAGCCTCATTGTTTCTATCAATTATGTGTGGTGGGATGGCAATAATAACAACCTGCAATATTTCCCAAGTCAATGATTAGTCCATGCCATATTAGTTATGACCAGCACACAATTCTTTTACATCTTTTTAATCAAAATGAAATAAAGTATGAACAAACAGGTTAATCATTTTATTTTGGGTTTGAATTTTATCCATATTAAAAAAATTAAGATTATAAAATTCATGGAATAATAATAAAAAATATTTTATTAAAAAAATGAGTTTAAATAGTTATGTTTATAGAGTTTGTACATTGTCAATAACTAAATTATCATCCCTACTAATGAAAATATAAATAAGAACAGAAAATATTATCCATCTTCCTTTCGTTCTAGAAAAAAATCTATCATGTTATTGTTAAGATTAAATATATTTAACATCTGTAATTGTCTGAAATACTTAAAACGAGTTAAACAAATTAGAAAAGGACACTGCCAGCCTGGTGTTTATTTAACATCTAAATGTTTAAAACATCTAAAGTGACTTGAACAAGTTTATAAAAAGAGGACGTTGTTGACATGGTGATAAAACCACGAATAAAAAGGGTAAACTACAAAAAATGATCATTTTTATTTCATTTGTGTTTACTTATGGTCATTATTTTATTAAAAATAACATTTCGATCACTTATGCATTGATTTATATTATTTTGATTATATGGACATTAAATATTACTAGTTTGATGATGTGTTACATTAGTAAAAAGGGTTAATTTTTAATTCAACCTTAAAACTATATATAAAATATTAGTTTGACTCTTAAATTTCAGATAAAATATTAATTTAACTCTTAGATCAGACCAAAGTCCCCTGTCGCTCAACCTCATTGTCGATTACTACCGACCGTTGTACCCAATTTTTAACCTCCTGAAATCGAATCCAATATTTGTTTCATCGAAAAATATCCTAAATTCTATAAATCTAATATAAAATCATTGACTTCCTTTAAAATTAAACTATAATAATAAGTTTATCATTAATATTACTCCACGGAAAGAGGGCAAGTGAAGCCAACAAGTTGATAGAACACAATGAGTTGCGGTTTGAGTAAGACTTTGGAGTTGATTTTCCGGGGTTATTACAATGGCTTAGTAATGTTGTTGTTCAGGGGCACTTGGACCTTTTCTTTTAAGTAGTAACTTTTCTGATGTTCTTTAACTAGAAGTTTCTTATGCAATGCAGGCCGAGGAGAAGATGCAGATAGAATATGACCGAAAATGCTGTAAGTTGAAAGGACTGGATGAAAAGGGTGCTAAAGCTAATACAGTTGTTTCAACCTGCAATATAATCATTACAAAATTAAGAACTGCAATTCAAGTTGTTGACAATATATCCGTGACTATACCTCCCTCTTATCGTCGGGGCCCCATCGGTCTTAATACCCGCCCATCCCAGCATTCCATTGCAAAGGCAAGTTCAAAACCTGTGCTTATTGGACATTACTGGGGATCATTTTATCTTTTTTTGCTTAGCTCCTTAGGTTGGTTTAGATATTAGGGTTTCTTATCTGGGGGCCTCCTTGATATTTCTCAAAGTTTAGGTGGTGTCAGTTCTAACATTTTTTGTGCATTGCTGCTAAGTTAAACAAATTTAATGGATTTCTGATAAGTTGATGGCTTTAGCTTTTCTTGGGGTCTTCCGTCTTGTTAACCATATCATATGCTTAGATTGCGTTTATGATGGATTTGTGGGTACTCTTGCTATTCTTGGAGCAATTTTGGATACTCACCTATAGTCATGGTGTAGCAGTGATTTAAATGTAGTGATTCTAATCCTCAACTCCTGTCTCTACTCTGTAGCTGCACATACTGATATATTGGTTGATTGCTTTAGCATTTGACTGAACTGGATTCCACTGCTACAACCTTTGTTTTAATGTAGTTGCAGTGGAATATAGTTGAATCATCATTCATATTGAAGACAGTGATTTGCTTTCAAGTAATAAGCTGACACATTATGTTTTCTTTCACTAGTCTTCCCACAAAACCAGGAGCTTGCCATGGAAGCATGATTTGTTTGAAGACAGCCTTAGAGCTGCAGGGATATCTGGAGTAGAAGTTGGCACCAAGTTATATGTTTCCAACTTGGACCCTGAAGTCACAAATGAAGATATCAAGGTAAAGTGGCACCTTTATTACAACTTTAAGGCTATAGTACTTTTTGGAGAAATACCCTGAAGCTTTCTACATCACAGGAACTTTTCTCTGAGATTGGAGAGCTGAAAAGACACTCGGTACATTATGATAAAAACGGTCGGTCAAGTGTAAGTACTTTCTTTTATGCTAATTGATTCTGACATTCTATTGTAGTGATGGTTCTTTTTCCCTTGAATCTGACTTAAAAGGTTTTGGCATGTTGAGTTTTGAAAGGAATAGATGTTTGTTTTCTTAAAGCGGTGATGGAAATCTTTGAAAAAGTTAAAGGATATTTCTACTGTATGAATTATGCACTTCAATGGAGGAAGAGTTGGCTTAATTCTTAAGTTGACGCTTGTAGCAACTACTGGTTGTAAAAACTTCTGCAATTCTACTACATGAATTGTACGGATTAGTTGGTAAATAATTGTGTTATTTTGTATTTGAAGAAGAGCTTTTAGCAACTGTTTGTTGCAATCATGCTTTCTATTGGATTCTTTTTAAATTCTTTTCTAATGCATTTACATTTTCATGCCATTTTTAATATTAACTGAGTTATGCTGCTATCTTTCTGTTCTAGATGTAGAAATTGGTGAAAATTCATTTGGAATCATCACTCCCAGGAGTCTGGCATGTTTTGTGAGAAGTTTATATTGATGAATAATTGAAGGCTGCTAAGCCTTTAAATTTTTTTGATGCATGTAAGGGTTTTTCTGGAATATATGAATTTCATATTAAGATTACACCATTTGAATCTTTGAGTTTTTGATACAATATTTTGTTGGGACATCTCTCTTCTGGCTGAAAATGATCCCATTCTTTGGATGTGTAAAGATGTGCTTAAAGCTTGAGGGTGGTTTGATGCTTTGCTTGTTTGATGATGAAATATTCTTCTGACTAGTCCTTTTGTCTTTGTATTCTAATAAATATTCTCCTAGATATTTTACCCATTCATATGTACCTTATATTTTAATGGTGTTTCTTATTTCGGTATCAAATGTTTGTTTCTTGGATGGTGCTTGATATATGATTTCAGGGCTCAGCTGAAGTTGTTTATCTTAGAAGGAGTGATGCATTTGCTGCTCTTAAGCGGTACAACAATGTAATGTTGGATGGAAAACCCATGATAATTGAAATTGTTGGTGCCAATGCAGACGTCCCTATTTCTGCTCGTGTTAAGGTAACTGGAACAAAGGGAAGGAAGAAGAGGACTGTTGTTATGATGTATGTGGTTCTATGTTCTTTCTTGTCATATTTGATTGTCGTTTTGACTCCTATCTCTAATTTGTTTCCAATATTTCCTTATTTCTTTCTATCTTCTATTTTACCAATAAGTTTTTCTGTTCATGTTTTGAATTCATTTCCTGGAATGCATATTTATTTCTAGTCAAATATTAGTTTCTCCTTTTAAGCCATGATCATCGTTGAAATGAAACCTGAACCCTCTTTCAGAGTATGTTTCTCGGCATCCATTCATTTTTTGTTTTTTTGAGCTCTATTACATGGATTCATCATTTAAGGTGCCAGGATACAGATATGAAATATGCATTTAATATCGTATTAGGCATACAGTTTTGGATTTTTGACACAAGGCAACTAAAACCAAATGAATCCGGGAAATACAAGGGACTATGGAGAGATGGCTGGATGTGAAAAACCTAGGCCTAAAAAACCCCTTAAAAATACTCAGCCACCTCAAAACAGTAAGATGATGCATAAGAAGAATGATTGTAGAGAGAGAGTTACGAAAGGGAAATAATAAATAGAAATGAATTTATGTTGATATGTATATATGTTGTTTATGGAGCTTGAGCTGTGAACATACTTATATTTGTAAGTTTTAAAGTCGCTGGTAGTTCCTTTCTAGTCCTATCTCTTTGTCTATTCCTTGCTGATTAATTTACCTTTTTGTATATTCTTTTTTACCATTTTACTAGAACTACCCTGATATGTAAATATGCAGGCCAGAAGCAGGTCAATTGAGAAGATCTGCTGGAATTAGTCGTGGTCCTGAGTAAGTTGCAATTAATTCCGACACCTGTATGATATAGATTTCCATCTCTTAGCATACTCATGGAAATTACAATTGACATGATTTGAATTAATTCAACATATGATAAATAAGATGCTAAGGTTTGTGTAAAGCTTTCCACTTTCATTTCTACCAAACTCATTGCCCAATAGCTTGTGAGTTGAGCATTTTTTCAAGTTATCTGGGCTCACTCTACTAGATGACTTCTCTAGATTCTAGGGTTTAATCTAATTGGTTCACCCACATTTCTTTTTTTTGATAGAAGTTGGAGGTCTCATTAAAAACTCCCTTAGTATTCGTCCACATACTAAGAAGTATGTTAACGAACATAGGAAGGAAGAAAAGAGTACCTCATATTTAATTGAATAAAACGCCTCATTACATATGAAAACACGAAATACCCTCAAACGAGGATAAACACCATTACAAAAAACATAATCACCTAAAGCTCTCACCTTCTCGACCACAAAAATCAAAAGGCAATCACCCTATACCTAAGATAAACCTCCATCAATAGGAAAACAACCCAACATTTAATGACATAACATACATAAAAACAACACCTAAAACCATTAAACCAAAAACATCCGCCTTTGAAGGGAACTCCACAAAAATACCAACATGTATCAAAATCACCCACATTTCTTCGGAGGTAACTTATTGCAAGGTTGGGGTTCAATACTTGGCATTTGCTCCTTCTGCAGTTCCTTGGGGGCCTTGGCCTCCTTTGTATCAATAAATAAATAATGTCTTTAGCCCTTATCTTAACACACTCTATTCTGCCTAAAGCCCGTCATTTCATACAATTCAAAAACTAAAACAAAATCACAGAGATTAAATCTTACATCCTTCAAAATTTTCAGTTGGTGTGCCAGTATTGTCATAGTTTTTAGGTTGGTTTACCGTTACCATATACCTGCCGCAAGGCGGTCTGCAGTGGTGAAGATTGTAGATGGAACAATTATCCGTGCATTGTATTTGTCTTATAATGCATTCTTTATGAATTTTAGGTGGCGGTTGAGTATGAACTGATTGAAAGCTTTTTAAAATTCCATCTTTCTTAAGATAATTTGTTAACGGTGATGAGTGGTTGTATTTTGGTATCTGTTGTTAATTCACCATTTGCTGGATATTGTTGCAGCCGTCGTGGGGGTATGACTATGAGGAGTGGCCGTGGTGGAGGTGGTCGTGGTAGGGGCCGTGGAAAAAGGAAGCCTGTAGAGAAGTCAGCAGATGACCTTGACAAGGAGCTTGAGAACTATCATGCTGAATCCATGAATGTTTCCTGAAGTTTCAAACCAATATGGAATTTTAACAGTATTTTTGCTCAACTCTCTGTACAAAATTGGCGGTTTTAGTGCCGCCCTGTACTTTGCCTGTTGAATGGTTTACTAATTAGATTTTTCAAGCCTTGAAGGGTTTATTTTGTCATTTAAATTGGAAGAATTAAATATTTTCATTAAAGTTTTAATTATTAATTTTATTTTAACTTTAAAAAAAATAATATTTTTTAAATATTAATTGTATATTTTATACATAAAATACTAATTTTTGAGGAGTAAGATTATCATCGTTGCATATATAAAGACTATTAAGATATAATTTAACGATCTATATTGATATGTAAAAAATAAAATTATGTAAATATAATAAAATTAGTGTGGAAAGAGATATATCTATCTAGTGTAAAATAAATCTAAATCTCAACTTGAATTAAAAAAAAGTTTAAACTTGAAACGACCAACCTTGAAAAATATAAATATAGAAAACTTAAACTAAAAAAAAATTAAACCTTAAAAAGTTGAAAATAAAAAAAATTGAACCTTTGACTCAAAAGTTTAAGAATAAGATTAACTTCTTGTTTTTTTTCTTAATGAATATATTTTCATTTATTACTCTTAATCTTAGTCATTTATTTTCACTCATTCAACGGTTATAAATCTATGTAAAATTAAAAAAATTTATATTGTGTAACTGAATTTTATCTGATATATATATATATATATCAATTGTGTACTATTGCTTTTATCTTTTTTATCTTTTTCATATTTTTTATATAGTTGTTAAACAAAATGTTTAAACTATGAGATTCAAACATAAAATTAACAAGTTCAGAAATAGATTTCTTACCATTCATTATTTTCTATAAATATATATTTTGATATAAAACTATTTTTATTTACCCACATTTTAAAGGTAATAAATCTAATGTATATTTCCTTTTTCTTTTCATCCAATAACAATTTAATAATAATAGATTAGAAAAAAGAAAAAAAAGGGGAAAAAAGTAAGCAAGTAGCTGGGCAGGCCAGGCCAGGCCTAGAGCGGAGTAAAGGAGCAAAGGAGTAAAGAGTAAAGAGTAAAGAGTAAAGAGGAAAGAGGAAAAGAGTGTTTGTCTTCCCTCATCTGCCTGCTCTATCTTTTCCAAACGTTATGAAACAAATAAAGAAGAAAAAGATGAATTTTTCTGGGTTCATCAACTTCCTCCAGTTAATTTAACTTTATCGCAATCATTTCACATGTATTCTTCTGATAGTACTACAACTAGTATATAAATAAACAAAAAAGTTGTTAATTCTGAGCAAAAGAGAACAAAAAGAAAGAAACCTCCACCCAAAATGGGTTCCGAGCAGAACAGATTCCCACAGCAAGAACGGGTACCTTTTATTTTTTCCCGTACCTTTTTTAGATCTTTTCATTTTGCTTCTAATTTTGTCGCAGATCTGATTTCATGCTACTACTTGTTTCTCTGTTGTAATCAGATTTGCTTGCAAGTTGTAATAAGTTATTGTTTATTTTTTTTTAAAAAACAAGTGAAAATCAATTGAAGAAGGAGAAGGAGAAAAACATACCTGAGCTGCGCCCATTTGATTGATTGATACCTTCATAGATGAAATGCTGGATTCCTTGGTGTGATTAATTTTGGCTTTGTGCTTTGTTTTTGTTGAATTGTCATCAGTCAGATTTTTTTTTCTTTTTTCTCTTTAATCGTACATATATATGTACTTGGTCTCTTGAACTCTTTGTTTGTCTATAGATCCAGCTACTTCACCACTTATTCAGTTCAAAATCTGTGTACCAAATATTTTTTTGTTGATGATGAACTGTTTAAGTCTTTAAGATACATAGATCCCTTCTCTTTGAGTCTACACGTAATTTATCTTATCTGCCTTTTTCGTTACCTGGCAAACGAAAACCTAAAATCCCAAACATTGAACTGCATTTCAGCTCTGATTGTAAATCTAACGCTAACAAAAGCTCAAACTTGCAAATAAACTTGCAAATACGACATTGCAAATTTACTCAACCATGCCTAAGGTTAGGCTTTAAGGCTGCATTCTTCTAGCCATGTTCTCACTTTCTTTTACTTCTACTTAAAGTTCTTGTTCTTCACCACGGAACTTGAGTTTTCTGTTCTGGGTTATTAGTTAGAAACACCTGGGTTTGGATTGTATTATGATTGAATGGTGCTCTCTTGTGCATTTTTAGAAGGAATTTCATATGTTTTCTGTTTGTAATTAAGTATAACATGAATCATTATGATTGAATAGTGCTCTCTTGTGCATTTTTTAGAAAGAAATATTGTTTCCCAAGCATATTTTCACTTCTTGATTACTTGTACCGGGATTCTGAAAAATCTGGGTATTTGTTATATGCATTGTCTTTTAATGTTGCAGTAGATGTAGAGATATTTGTAGCGCTGTTTATCTGTTGCTGAATTTGTCAGACTCTTGAGAAAATTATGAGGGCTAATGGTTGTAAAATGTTTAATTTGGATTTTTTATTTTCTATTATATGACATAATCTTTCGATGTTTAATCTTGTTGCTAGCAGAAGAGATGGGGAGGATGTTGGGGGGCATTTTCCTGTTTTAGTTCACAGAAAGGTGGAAAGCGTATTGTACCTGCATCTCGTATGCCTGAGGGCAATGCATCAGCTGCCCAGCCAAATGGTTCTCAAGCTGTTGCTGGGTTGACCAATCAAGCTACTACATTAGCTCCCTCGCTTCTAGCACCGCCTTCTTCACCAGCGTCATTTTCTAATTCTGCCCTCCCTTCAACTGCTCAATCACCTAGTTGCTTGTCATTATCAGCTAACTCACCCGGAGGGCCGTCGTCCATAATGTTTGCCACTGGACCATATGCCCATGAGACACAACTAGTTTCTCCTCCTGTTTTCTCAACCTTCACAACTGAGCCTTCCACTGCTCCTCTCACTCCTCCACCTGAGTTGGCCCACTTAACTACCCCCTCTTCACCTGATGTTCCTTTTGCTCGGTTCTTGACCTCTTCTGCGGATCTTGAAAGTGCGAATAAGAATCATTATATTGCTGCAAATGATCTTCAATCTACATATTCCCTTTACCCAGGCAGTCCTGCCAGTAGCCTCAGATCACCAATCTCTAGGACTTCAGCTGACTGTTTGTCGTCATCCTTTCCTGAACGGGAGTTTCCTCCACAATGGGATCCTTCAAATTCTCCCCAGAATGGCAAACATTCCAGGAGTGGTTCTGGCAGACTATTTGTGCATGATGTAACTGGTTCCTCCATAGGGTCTCAAGATACTAATTTCTTTTGTCCTGATACATTTGCACGATTCTATCTGGATCAGAACCCACTTCCTCATCCTGGTGGGAGATTAAGTGTTTCGAAGGATTCGGATGTTTACCCTATCAGTAGCAGTGCACATCAAAATAAGCAGAGTAAAAGTCCTAAGCAAGATGTAGAAGAACTGGAAGCTTATAGAGCTTCCTTTGGATTTAGTGCAGATGAAATAATCACTACTACTCAATATGTGGAGATTATTGATGTTACAGATGATTCGTTTACAATGACACCTTTTCCCATAGATAAACCTACTTTTGAAGAAAGTACGGAACTTGCATCTGGTGACGAAGGACCGAAGGCAGAGAGGTTACAGGAAAACTCTCTGGGTGATATGAAACGAAAATCAAAACCCAGTCTTGTCAATTGGGCTGGACACCATGACGTGCAAGTGTCATGCAATGGATATGAAGGTAAAGTGTCCTTTAGTTGATCTAAAGTTCATTTATTGCTCTGGCTGTTATTGGTTGTCAAGACAAGTGGGACCACAATTTTACTGAAAATCCTTGGCATCTTCACATTTAACCTTCTAAGCATTTTGGATATAATCTATTGCATAATTTCTAAATAGTAAATAGGGCATAGATATATATTTTCAAATTCTGAGTGATGATTTGTGGCATTGGTGTTCCTACTTTATCATATGCAAAAGACAATAGACATGCTCAGCATTGTGTTATAGAATTGGAGGTCGTGATGAATCAAAAACAATAGGAGCTGCACGCATTAACGTAATTGTGCCCTGTTACATGAAAATCAGTAACGTTCTCTCTTAATATGGTGCAGATCACAAATCAAGGAGACAGGTGGCTGATGTCTCTGGATCGAGTATGCCTATCAACCATCCCTTGACCGATGAAGAGGATGTTGTACTTTTGAAGAAGAGTTCGTCGAGGAGCAGGAAACATCAACTGGGCTTGTCATGCTCTGATGCAGAGATCGACTATAGGAGAGGAAGAAGCTTAAGAGAACGTAAAGGAGATTTTGAATTCCATGACTAAGAAACAACCAACTTGAGAAACATGCAAGTTATCAGCTGCTTCCAGATGTAGTAAAACTGCAGTTTAGTTATAACTTGTGTTAATGGTTCGTTCTTTCATTTCTTTTTTTGTCCATCTCCGGGTCAGGTGTCCGACCTGATGTCTCTGATTATGAGTGTAATTCTGTTATATTAACCCTACCTTCCTGCTTCACTATGATTTACATGTTTTGTGATGCATGTAATTATATCTATATTATACTCTTGTAAAATGCAATTTACAGCTCAGTTTACATTTTCTGTGGCGCATGTATTAAGTCGGTTCGATTAAATCGATTACGACCATAACAATTGTTCGATTCGATTATTGTATGTGATATGCGGCATGGCATTACTATTGATTTTCAACACAGTCCCCTCAGGCGTATATCAATGCATCAGCATTGGGTCGTGGAGGCAAAAGTGGGTTGCGCCTCAAATTATGGATTCTAAATTCACCATGCAAACTTTTCGCATCATGTGAGGACCAAAGTTTCCCCATCAAAACAACGTTAAAAGAATACAAAAAAGCAGTAAAACATTCAAAAGATACAAAAAATCTATTTCGTTTTTATTTTTAGTCCTATACATAAAAATATTTTTTATTATATTACATATAAAATAATTATTTATATAATAAATAATAATTTTTTTTATCAAGACATGTTATCTTAAGGCGTAAATATTGTCTCATCAAAATAATCTTATTCGTAATATCTAATCATACTTAAAAAATTTATTTATATTTAATTTAAAATGATTTTGAATCATGTAATATGTGTCAACCTTATCTGTAATATCTTTAATTCTATCCCTTATGTGTCGTTTACGACATTTTGATTTTATTTAAATTGTCATAAACATTTTGAATTTGAATTTTATTTAATTTATTAATCAAATATCTTATTCAATTATGTCTTACCTGGTCGAAGACCAAGTTTAACACATTATGTGTAATATATTAAGTTCTAAATATGCTGACTAAAGATTTATTCAACCTATAATGTCTTAAAGTAAGAAATGTTGGTCACTGTGAATGTTTTGTGTGTCTGTTTGAGGGGGAGGGAGTGCGTACAAAGTTAGAAAGAGGAAAAAGAGGGAGAAAGGGGAAAAAGAGAAAAAAGAAAAGAAAAGAAGGAAAAAAGAGGAAAGAGAGGAAAAGGAAAATTAAATTTAGTATAAATTTAGTATTTTAATTTTTTTATATTTAAAATATTATTATATGTTCATTTTATGATCTATGGTCGAAGGTAAAGAATTCTTTTTAATAATCTCTTCTCTAATATTTAAATTTTAGATTTAACAACGTACTGTGTCCAATGACAGATCCAGGAATACTTTTCAGGGTGGTCACATGTATACTAATAATATAAATTTTTCGTACGGGACAAACATAAAATTTTTTTAGGGTGAGCACCCTCAATCAAATGAACTATTAATATAAAAAAAATCTAAATTTCAAGGTACACACATATCCACCTTAAACAAAGGCTGCATCCGTAGCTGAACGTGTCTTATCATTGTATCGAACACTTATTTATAAATTTATATATACATTTATATATCGTATCTATTTTATTATTTATATTGTACTTTTGTCGTGTATCATATTTAAGTTATTTATAATAATTCAATTTACAAAAGGATGCGTTTTATGGCGTTTTTATTGAAAAATCACTTTTTTCATTTAATATTTTCGATCGACACCGTTCAGATTATATTTTCCGATCTAACACCCTTTGCAGAAAGGTATATCCCCTGTAGCGCGCTTAACGCTGATTTGGCACCACGTGGGGTAAGACGCGCCCCGTGAGGCGTGCCTTATGCTGACATGGGATACACGTGTGTATAGCGCGGCTCTTAGGGCACGCCTTAGGCCACGTAGGGTATAACGCGGGCCAAGGGCTGCACCTTACCTGTGAATCTGTCACGCGTCAGTAAGACGTGCCCCCTACGGCGCGCCTTAGGTTTAATTACCCACCTACCCCGACGCTTCACACCCCAATCCCTCCCTGTAAATACCCATTCCTCAATCACTTTCATCACACCAAATTCTCTCAGTTACTCTTAACTTCTCTCAAATACTCTTATATTCTCTGTTTAAGGTATATTTTATATATTTTTAATATTTTGTATTTAATTTATTTAATATTTTACATATATACTTTTTTTTACAGATATATAATGGAAGGCGGTTTACTTCGCTTGGATGAAAATCATATATCTCGACACTTTGCTGATACGGTAACATTTTAACGTTTTAATTTAATTTAAATTATTAGTAATAATTTGTTGATTTATTTAATGCATGATTATTAGATTAAGAATTAATTTTTGTAATTATTTAATTTTAGGAGAAGGACCGTGTATTAGATCATTTTATTAAGAACCTTAAGTTAGTGATACCTAGCCGTGTCTTGCCGTATTTAGTAGACGCTGGATTCGGTTACATAGGTAGATATCAGAGTCACTGTAAGATAGAACCAGACCTTATTTCTGCCTTAGTAGAGCGGTGGAGGCCGGAAACCCACACATTCCATCTTCTGTGCGGAGAGTGCACGATTACACTTGAGGATATTGCTATGTACCTGGGGCTTTCGGTGGATGGAGATGTGATATCAGGGATCGCGCAGGGTTCCTGGACTACTTTGTGCCGGGAAAATCTATGACGTGTCTCAGAAAATTTTAACGGTGGTCGGATACCGTTAAATTGATTAGATACCAATTTTTGGAAGTTGAGCGAGGATGCCTCTGATGATGAAGTTAAAATATATGCACGGGGATGCATACTGCAGCTGGTAGGAGGGTTGCTGATGCCAGACAAATCGCGTAACCAAGTTCACTGCATGTGGTTACGACATCTTAGCGACTTTCATCTGGTCGGATCACTCAGTTGGGGCTCGACAGTTTTGGCTTTCTTGTACAGGGAGATGTGTCGAGCCATTGACTACAGGAGAAATGCTATCGACAGATGTCTCCTGCTGCTGCAGTCTTGGGCATGGTATCGATTGCCCTTTTTATGTCCCGTTGTCAATAACCAATTCATATTTCCACTATTATTGAGGTAATTGTAAAACTGATTTCTTATATTAATCATTTGATACAACGTATAAGAATTTTTTTTCCTTGAATAGGTGGTTTACTAATAGGAAAAATCATCAGGAGCTACCTGATGATTTAGAAAAAATTAGGGTGTTAATCAATTAGAAGGCTGTCACACATGTATGAATTTTAATGTTTAAAAATCGATTTTAGATTATAGTTATATAATTAGATTATTATTTTGAAAAAAATTATATATATTTGTTTTAGTTTGAATGGGTGCCATATTCTACTGATGATGTGAGGACGGTGATCCCACGACCCGACAAAATTAGTTTTTCACCCGACCTGACCTGATAGATAGTTTAAAAAATCCGACCCGACCTGAAATAATAAAAAAATTATTTTTATTCAATAAAAGCAGTGACTAAATTGAAAAAAATAATATATAGAGGGGTATTATTGTAATTATTCCTAAATATATAGGGTAAAATTATATATTTTTCCCGGGTCCGGTCGAGTCGGATTTTTTTCACCCTAAACCCGACCCGACCCGACCCAAACACCACATAAAAAAAATCCAACCCGACCCTGATTTTTTTTAGAAAAATTAGACCCGACCCGATCGGGTCGGGTCGGGTTGGAACCCGTCAGGTTCGGGTTAGATGCCCATCCCTAGGCCCATCAGATATTTGGATGGCGATGATCCCTTTGATCTGTTATGCGACTGTCGAGTGGCACTCCACTGATCGCGTGCTCCGGCAATTTGGTTGTTTTCAACCAATTCCGGAAGCACCTCGCAATATGGACAAGTTACATAGCACAAATAGACGCGGCAAGACAGATATAAATTGGCTAGTGAGGCATCATGAGTGGGCCATGCTGTGGGAGGATCGACATCGACGCCTTCCCCGTAGAGAGCCCATTTTACTTGACCTCTTGATGGTTGCTGACGGTTATTATAAGTGGTTCAACATTAATGAGAAACTGTTTCTGCTTCTCGAGGATGCACGAGGGCAGACATTTCCACGACGTCAACAAAGACGTTCACCGACACAACACCATCGTCCCCCGACTCGTGGACGGAGAGCAGGTGCTTCCGGTTCATCCTCAGTTGCACCAGTAGAACCTTCACAGCAGCCACCATATCTATCGACTTACATACCGCAGCCATATATGATGCCACCACCACCTTTGCATTACCAGATGCCACCGCCTTCACCTGGTTTTATGATCCCGCCCCCGCCACCGCCACAGAGTTTTATGACCCATCTTGAAGGATATTATGGGTCTATGTTTACAGATCCGACTTGGGGTTCATATGCTGAATATTTGGTAGGTTCAGCCTCATCACCCATGGCCGCAACACAGACACATCATGTACAGTTTTCACACTCAGCGATGTCTGGGTTTTATGAGTTTTCCCAGTTTTCGCAGGCCGATGGGATAATCAGTCATACACCTCGAGGGTCCTTATTCTATAGAGGTGCTTCATCGTCATCGGCTCCTCATCAACAAAATGTAGCTGCTCAAGACGACGACGACGATGATGATGGCGATGATGATGACATTGAGGAGTCACAACCAGTGATACGAAGAAATCCTCCTCGAGACCGACAGCCACCGCCCTGTGGAATACTTTCGTGTCGCAGGCATCGATAAATTTTGTTTTTTTTATTATATTTGTATTTAATACTTTTTTATTGTAGTTGTTTATTGGACTTTTTTATTGTAATTTTTTTATCATTTAATACTTACTTTAATTCGTTAATATGGTTGGATTGATTTTAATTAAGTTTGTTAAATTTGTTGGACTTTTTGTTAATTTATTTTGCTTAATTTTGTTTAGTACCATTTAATATAAGTTATTTTAATTTGATTATCATTTACCATTTAATACTTATTGTATCGTTAATATCAATTATTCGTTAATATAACGCTAACGTCCAATCTCGTATAATTGTATCATTTTTTTAATCTTCATCAGATGTTATCGAATAACATTAACTTGAAGTAAATGCAAATTAAAGTACAAGAATTATTATTTGATAAATAACTACATCATTTCCTCATCAATTGTTACTTGATGACAACAGAAGTGGACATGTTTTTCTAGTATGTCCTGGGTTTCTACAATGCCCACATCTTCTGTCTTGTCTAGATCTTTCTCGAATATCCATATTGCAATGAATTCGATTGGATTTTGGATGACCACGCTC